TTCTATAGGTAGTAAACCACTTCCTATTTGGACACATATGGTAAGAGCATCCAGAGTCAAGAATCTACTTACCGGAGGTTTCTTTATCACAAGAGATGGTGTAGCACTCATCGCTTTCCCCTCCTGCCGAGGCATAGCTTACCTTTTGCTTGACTTGCACCTTCCCACTGTTATTGTTCTTATTGTTCTTCTTCCAACCCTTTTTGTTTGGACAATTCGCCTTGAAATGCCCAAGCTCGCCACATTTGAAACAAGACCTTTCCGCAAGAGGTCTAGAACTCGATCTAGATTTTTCTCCCTTGCCCTTTGGTCGCACATTGCTTGTACTCCTTACAAACAATCCTTGAGCTTGCTCCTTGTTACCAATGGTAGACATGCCACTAGTTGCAATCTTTCGAAGATCATCCGCTAGAAGTGACGTTCTAGTGTCCTCCATCACAAGTTTATCACCCACAAGCATCAATGTTTGTACTAGGTTCTCATAAGACTTTGGCAATGAAAGAAGTAGTAGAAGTGCTTGATCCTCATCATCTATATCCACATCAATGTCCTTCAAGTCCGATATGATCCTATCAAACTTGTTGACGTACTCCCGGATTGGTGTACCTTTTCATCCATCTTGCAAGTATACAATTTGGACTTCAAGTATATCCGATTTGTTAGAGTCTTCGTCATGAAGTTCGCCTCCAACTTTATCCACACCTCCGCCGCCGTTACCTCACTATCAACCAAGAAAGCAACATTTCTTTCAAGGCAAAGAATGATAGACGCTCGTGCCTCAAGATCTAACTCTTCCCAATCCTCGTTCGACATATCAACGTGCTTCTTCTCCTTTCCCGCCAATGCCTTGTGCAACTTTTGAGAAATCAACAAATTTTTCATTTGCATTCTCTAATATGAAAAATCATTCTTCCCATTGAATTTTTCTATCTCATACTTCCCAATCTTCACCATTCCTCTAGTAGACATGATTTACTCACTTGTTTACCGAAAATAAACCACAAAAGTTCACTTGGAAATTTTCACAAACACCTTGTGCACAAAAAGTTCAAGCAACTCACCACAAAATCGAAGCTTAACCACCTTGATTTTCGAAAGAGCTCTGATACCAAATTGTAGGGAAAACACCTCCCAATGAATGCCCAAAGATCAAACTAAGTTGGCAAAGTGAAAATTTCCAAAACACTTGAAGAACAAGAAAATGAGGAAGAAATGATTTCCAATAGAATATATGAAGATCAATGTGTTTGGATTACTTGAACAAGCCTCAAGTTAATCCACAAGAAAGAGAATAACTTTGAATTTATACCCAAGATGAATAACCTTCTATCTTGTGAATTCTCACCAAGTTTTCTCTCTTCTTTCTCTCTAGAAACGAGCTCAAGGGTTGTGATATATTGTGTTGTATGAAAGAGGGAAAAAATGGCTATTTAAATACCTATCGGGGCGCCTAGGCGCCATGTTCCTGCCTGTCAAAAAAGTTCGGGGCGCCTAGGCGCCATGGAAGTGGTGCCCAGGCGCCATGTTACTGCCGGGGAGGCAGAAACTGGGCGCCCACTCCTGGCGCCTAGGCGCCCGGCAGAAACTTGGCAGAACAGCCCCCCTCCTTCCTCTCTTCTCTTGCTCCTCTTCTTCTCACATAAAGGCACTTTCTTTATCTTTTTAATGCCTCCCAAATAAATGGCTTGAATGGAATCACAACAAATCATCCCCTTGCAGATGCTCCAGTCATGGCGTATTCCTAAGACACAAACTCTTTAAACTTGGCAATGCCTGATCAGCACTACTACTACTGTTTATCCCTTCATCCTTGTCATCTTCTATTATCTCCTCCGTTTGTACATAGTTATAGACAGTCAAGTGTTGGAGCTTATGGAAATTTTGTGCCAGACTATGAGGGAAAAGCTTCTTGATTTTATCACACCTTTGAATCCTCAACTCATCTAGCCAAGAAAATGTGCCTTGTGGAAGAGGTACAACTACGTCCCACTTGAAGAGACCAAAAAAATTTGGCAAGTTTTCCAGGGACAACGATTGAATGCTTTCAAATGGGCCCTACTAGACTGTTGTTCTTCCTTGGCAAACGAAAACCTCATAATGCACTCTATTTTATCCCCTTTTGCAATTATGCAGAACTTTAAATCTCTAGCACTATTTAGAATTAGGAATTCATCTAATAAGGAACTATCCAAGAAACTATTCGTAAAGATTAGTTTCTCACTATCTCATGGAAGCAAATTCTCGTCTTTGGGTGAAGATGATTCCACGAGACTTTTTTAGCTTCAACATGAACTTTACAACTTTCTTTAGAGTTTAAAAACAGTCTGCAGGAATTGAGTTGCTTATCACTTTGTCGAGACTTTAGTAAACGATTGATATCACATACGCTATTTAACCTGCCTTTAAATACTTTCAACTGTTTCAGTGCCTCAACTTTTCAATTGGTGCACATATATGAAATGGCAATGAGAGCAGCTGAAGTTTTGAAAGTCTACTCAGAGTCTGTGTCGGTAACACCTTTGATTTATGGCAACTCAAATATAGGAATCTGAGTTTGGTTAAGATATCCATCCCTTGGGGTAGTTCCTCAATATTAGTAGCTGTGAGATCCAAATGTCTCAATTCATTGAGCATTTCCAATGATGAAACTAATTCCAGTCCATAACAATCTTTCAGCAGTAATGTTCTAAGATTCTCCAAGTGAGATATGGAATTTGACAATTTTTGAATTTTAGTACCACATAAATTGAGAGTGCATAGACCACACATTTGCTTGAAGAAACAATTTGGAATTGATTTTGGAGGATTTTCTCTCAAAACCAATGTTGAAATCTAGGACACGTGGGTGACGCGTCACATGAAATTTTCTCCATCAAGTTTTCCATCAAGGAAACCTTATCCAATTCTTCTGTCCATTTATGCATAACAGGTATCTCCCTTAAGTAAAGTCCAGTTTTTACCTTGTATCTAGGGTTATCTTTACTTTTCTATATTGCCATGCATCTTCACATACGTACCAGTTTAACCCCTTTCCAGTAAGCAGGGTCTCTCTAATTTATTCGATATTGCACGACCTTGGTCAATCTCGACTCTGAAGCTAGATCTTCTCTCCATCAGCTCTTTTGAAATGAAATTTTCAATCAATTTGACTATTGGAATACAATAGCCTTTAGGATACAGCGTGCAACGCAAGAAATAATTTTTTAGCTTTTCATCTCCCAGATGATCATAACTATAAGAGAGTATTGACAAAACCTTATCTTCCATGTTCGCTTGTCCCATACATGATTCTTCCAGTCCTTCCAATGCATCTCTCCATTCATAAATGCCAATCACTCCCCTCATGCTTCCAGCCAATGTGACAAATGCAAGTGGTAAACCACCACATCTTTTTACTATGTTCTTGCAAATCCTTTCTACTTTTGGATGAAGTTCAACTCTGCCAAGTTTCTACAAGAATAGTTTTGAAGCTTCTTGCTCAGAAAGTGTGTTCACTTTTATAATCCTTTGACAGTCCATCCCATCATAAACTTCTTTTGATTGACTTGTTATGACGAACTTGCATCCATTCATTCCTCAAGGAATAGCAATCTTCTCTACATCGATTTGCCTCCAGACACCATCCAATATAAGTACAAATCTCCTTCTTTCCTTGAATGCCTAGAAAAGTGTAGCTGCCATTTTCCTTTGATCACTCTCACATGAGAAATCTAATTTCAAGACACCAGCAATGTCATTCTGCAATTTGTCAATGTTAAACTCTTGAGAGACAGTGATCCAATAAACATGACCCAAGAATGTGGATTTCTTTAAGAGCTTATCATGGACATGCAGTGCCAAAGTTATTTCGGCTACTCTCCCCATTCCATAAATGCCAATTCTTTTGACACCGTCATCCATTAATGATGCCCAAATGTCATCAAAATTTTGCAGAAATTCTTGGCCATTGTGTTGGGCTGTCATAATTAATGGGTCAATACTCTCATCAACCTCAACAAAAATCCCTCTAGGAAAATCACTTTGCTCAACAAGCTCAGTCACTTCTGTAGTCATTAATTCAACTTTTCAGCCAACTTTTATTGTTCAAAAATTCTGCAGCATTGTACGTCTTGGTTCAAGGTTCCAAAATCTTCTATTATGCTTTCAGCATTACTCAACCAATCTTCAACCTCTCTCTTGCATTTTTATTTTGATAACCGTGGGTGTCCGGGCCAACTTATGCGCACCTTGACTAATCCCACGGGGCCCTGAAATTTACAGTCGGATACTCACCTCAGTGGCCCTAAGGGGACTCAAACTCATGACCATTGGGGAGCAAACTCAAGGCCTGACCATTGAGCTACCCTTCAGGGTTCTCTCTTGCATTTTTTTCAAGAAAGATACGTTGCATTTTGTGATTCTACGTGCACATCATCTCTTCGTCTTGTCAGCATTTCTATTTTTCGTTTAAGAGCATTTGTATTTTTCTCCAAGTCTATGCTTAGAGATGACAAATCATTTCTAGCCATTTCAACATAATTAGCCATGCGACTTCCTACAGCAGTATTGTATACAGTTAGAAAAAGCAATATAACACTTTAGAACCATGGGGCACTAATTTGCTTGAAAGAAAACAAAATCGAGTATCATGTATTTAGTACAAAGTCAATCAATAAAAGAAATCAAAAAATTAATTTATTTCAAAATAAATTTAACATTTACATAAATTTCAAACAAAGAGATAAATCACTATTATATTATTTAAATCTAAAAACTATTAATTATTTAATTGACAACAGACTTTGCCTAGGTAAGAGGTTAGAAAGCACGTAGAAAAGGAATTATTGAACCAATGGACGACAGCAATTATTGTTTCTTTTTATAATTGATTGATTACTCAGTTGATAACTGTAATTTATCTAAGCAACCAAAAGTCACTTTCAGTATTGACGTAGCGGAATGTTATAGGAAAGATGAATGTTGGAATGGATAAGTTATTGTATAGTTGTGTATATCCGAGCGACATGATTAGGAGTTATAGAAATACTAGAATTGTGGGATTTAAATTAAATAGATAGAGTCCCGCTGACAATGTTGTTTCGATCTTTTAGGAGTTAGTTTCATTGTTTACTTACTCTTTCATTTTATCTCTTTGTAATTAGTTAGAGATTATCCTGTATAAATAGATGTGGAATGAATCCTAATAAGAGATATCAAAAAAATCATCTTTTCCTTAAATCTGGTATCAGAGCTCTAGGATATTTTCAAAAATTTTTAGGCATTCATTGCTCAGGCCTCAATTGCCAATTTTTCTGTCTTTGATCTAACCCTTTTCTCCACCATTAACCATCACGTCCGAGGCTACAACGTCCACAGAAGTCCTCAATCATCCATCTGATGATCTGTAGAATATCCAAGCAACTTACAGACTAAATGGGAAGAACTATCTGAAGTGGTCCCAATTTATCCGCACGTATCTAAAGGGCAAGGGAAAAATGAGCCATCTTCTAGGAACAAGACCGAAGAAGGGAGACCCCAACTTTGAAGCATGGGATGAAGTAGATTCCATGATCATGTCTTGGTTATGGAACTCCATGACTCTTGAAATCAACGACACCTTTATGTTTCTACCTACGATCGAAGAAATTTGGAATGCTGTTCAACAAACACACTCAAAGGCTCACGATGTAGCTCAGTTGTATGAGATTAAGATCAAGACTGCTTCAATGAAATAAGGCAGCAAAATTGTTACTGAGTACACGAATATACTCCAGACTTTATGGCAAGAGCTAGACCATTATCACTATTTTGAGACCAAATGTCCAGAAGATGCGCAACCTTGAAGAATTTTATCGAAAAAGATCGAGTATATGATTTTCTTACATGGCTTAATGCTGAGTTTGATCAAGTGAGGTTCCAAATTATTGGCAAAGAAGAGATACCCTCTCTGATTGAGACCATCTCTCTAGTTCGACAAAAGAGAGTCAACGGGGGTGATGGTTGAACTACAAATTCTTGACGGTTCTACTATAGTGACAAAGACGGATGGAAAGGCAGATCTATCTTGATCGTCGAATTAAGATATTCGGGACAATCATTGGTGTACTTACTGCAAAAAACTAAGACACACCAGAGACAAGTACTGGAAGTTACAATGTAAACTACAAAGCAAAGAGTGGGGAAACCAAGGGGAACAACAGCGGATATTTTTTGCATCATGTACATATAATCGTCCTCTAAACCGCAAGATACCATCTACTGATATATGAAAATCTGAAGCTTTTCCATCATGTGTATCATTCTTTATCTTGAAACAATAATCATCTTCATGTTGCCCTTGCTGAATCCTATTTAATAATTTTGGCTGAAGTGTTAATGCTGTAAGTTTAGCCTCTACAAATCCTTGCGACACAACTTCAATACCCATTCTCTGTAAATCTATCAATTCTGATTTTGTGTTATAATCATACTCGCAACATGAATTAGCCATCTCCAAGCCACCATGAATTAGCCAGCTCCAAGCCAAGCCACATTTAATGTAGAGGAGATAGAGAAGTTAAAGGGACTTCTTGGATCACTGGAAAAACCTAGTTGTTCATGCTCTCTTGCATACTCAGGTAAGTTCTCATTTTCTCATGGGCTAAATGTCTCAGATGAAACTATCAGGAATTTATGGGCATTGACTCAGAAGCCACAGGCCATGACTAATTCTTCACTAAATTTTAACACCTACAATCCCTGTCCAAGCAATCGAAAATAATAGCAGCTGATGGTTCTTTAACTACTATAGATGATATAGGTGACATTCATATTAGTCATTTCCTTACTCTAAAAAATATTCATCATGTTCCAAAGTTGTCCACCAACTTAATATCCATTCAAAAGCTCACACATGGAATGAATTGTAATGTTTTTTTTAATCCTTCTCATTGTGTTTTTCAAAACCGATCAGGTTTTGGGGAAGAAGATTGGACTTGCTAAGGAAAGAAACAGGCTCTACTATCTTGAAGAATCAAACAAATCACATGTGATCAAGAATAATTTATCTATGTCATTTCTTTCATCATCCAATAAAGACACTATTTGGCTTCATCATCTTAGACTAGGGCACCCATATTCTGGAATTTTAAAAACTATGTTCCCTACTTTGTTTAGAAATCTAGGTTCAGAACAATTTCATTGTGATGCATGTGAATTTGCTAAACATAAACATGTACCTTTTCTAATTAGCAATAAGAAAAGTTCAGTTCCATTTTATTTAGTTCACAATGATATATGGGGACCCTCCACGGTTCCAAATGTGTCATTCTCATCGATTTGTCTCCATTATTGAGGATTGTACTAGGGTTTCCTGGATTTCCTTCTCAAACACAAATCAGATGTAAGTAGTGTACTCCCAAACTTCCACAACATGATTCAAAACTAATTTGGGGTAAAAATAAAAAGATTTCGATCAGATAATGCAAGGGACTATTTTAATCAAGTTCTATCTCTTTACTTTCAAAAAGAAGGAATTATCTATGAATCCTCCTGTGTTGATACTCCATAACAAAATGGAGTGGTAGAAAAAAATGTTCACTTGCTAGCCACAACCCGAGCCTTTCTTTTACACCATAATGTTCCAAAACATTATTGGTGGGAGGCCATACGCACGGCTACATATATTATCAACCGTCTTTTTTCTCGAGTCCTAGGTTTAAATTTCCAATGGAGATACTATCTGGATTCCATCTTGACCTTCGTACAACAAATAATCTCACTCCAAGAATCTTTGGATGCACAGTTTTTGTCCATAGTCATAGTCACAACAGAGGAAAATTAGATCCAAGGGCACTCAAATGTATATTTGTAGGTTATTCGTCCACCCAAAAAGGAAACAAATGCTAACATCCACCTACCAAGAAATTCTTTGTCGCTATTGATGTCACTTTTGTGGAAACAAAATCATATTTCACTCAACCTTATCTTCAGGGGAAAATTTCATTTCGTGAAGATAAGGATAAAGACTTGTTTTTGCTTGACCTACCTACTCGTGAGCTAATTGTGTCCACATAACCAGATCCAACTAATCAAATTCTAGCCAAACTAGTCTCAGCTGATCCCACACCTGACCACACCAGACTCATGACAGAGCATAATGACGTTCATAACACAAGGAGATTCGTACAGGTTTATTCAAGGGGGAGAGACTCGGATTATAATCCCATGCAAGTCCAAGATTCAACTCCTACTCTTGAAAATGAGGTAAATGCAATTTCTGACCAGCCTACATTAAGATAAGAATGTGATCTCCCGATTGCCATTAGGAAAGGCACTAGAGAATGCATAAAACACCCCTTATATCCTCTAGTAAAATTCATCTCTTTTAAAAAATTCTCACCAACACATAGAACTTTTCTAGTTAGCTTAAACTCTATTCATATTCCTGATACTTTATCTGAGGTATTATCTAATGAGAATTAGAGAAATGCCATTAGTGAAGAAATGCGGCACTAGAGAAGAACCAGATGTAGGAGATAGTTAGCTTACCACTAGGAAAAAAGGTTGTAAACTGCAAGTGGGTGTTTACTGTAAATTATAAGTCGGATGGCTTTCTTAAAAGATACAAGGTTAGACTCGTCGCAAAAGGATATACACAAACTTATGGTATGGATTATCAAGAGACAATTGCTCCAGTAGCTAAGATGAACACGATAAGAGTTTTGTTGTCACATCTACTAATTTTTATTGGTATTTGGAATAATTCAATGTAAAAAATGCCTTCCTTCATGGCGAATTAGAAGAGGAGATAGACACGAACATTCCTCCAGGATATGAGCAACAGTCAAGAGGCAACAAAGTATGCAACTTAAGGAAGGCACTTTACGACCTAAACCAATCACCACAGGCTTGGTTTGGAAGATTCACCAAAGTAACATTACCCACTAGGTATAAGCAAAGTCAGGGAGATCATACACTTTCTATAAAGCACTCGAATATAGGGGGAGTCACCGCTCTTTTGGTATATGTTGATGATATAATAGTTACTTTTTCTCTCGTTTCTCTTTATAATTAGTTGGAGATTATCCTGTATA